TGAGCATGGAGCCCTACATGGGGCTTGATCCCAAGACTGCAGATTGTGACCTGAGCTAAAATCAAGAGTCAGACGCTTAACCAACTAAGCCACCCAGATGCCCCAAGAGCTAGTATCTCTAATATATAAAGGGCTCTTACAAGTACATAAGAGAAAAATCATTAAAAATTTCATAAAGGACATGAATATGTTCTTTTTAAACTCTAAAATAGTCATACTTTTTGAGCTTACAATTATAATTCTAGAAAATTATTCCCAAACACTGATTCTCAAAGTGTAGGATCTAGACCAGCAGTGTTACTATCACCTGGGAATTTACCAGCATTACAATTTCTGAGCCTTACTCCAGAACGACTGTATTGAGCCATCTGGACTTAAAAAGGCTTTTTAATGGAAGGTTTATAAATTATGGATTAACTTACTCAGTAGACATCGGACCATCAGGATTTTTCTCTTTGTTCTGGTGTGAGTTTTGGTAAGTTTCTAGGAAATTGTCAATTTCATTAAAGTTTTCTAATTTAGTTGTTGTTCATAACATGCTCTTATCTTTTTAATGCCTGTAGGATCTGTAGTGGTATTAGTTTTGTTTTTGATATTTGTAATTTGTGCCTTCTCTTTTTTTTCTTGGTCAGTCTTGTTTAATCTGTTTGGGGATCAGATTCTTGAATTTGTAGGTATATGTCTTATGCCAAGTTTGCAATGTTTTACACAGTTATTTTTTTATTTTTATTTTTTTTAAAGATTTTATTTATTTATTTGAGAGAGAGAGAGAGCGCACAAGCACGGGGAGCAGCAAAGAGAGAGGGAGACGCAGGCTCCCCACCGGGCAAGGAGCCCGATGCGGGGCTCCATCCCTGAACCCTGGGATCATGACCCCAGCTGAAGGCAGATGCTTAACTGACTGAGCCACCCAGGCATCCCCATTTACTTCCATTTTAGCACCACACTTTTTCTCCTCTCCTCCTGAGACTCCAATGATATGAATGTTAGAGCTTTTGTTATTGCCCCATATTTCTGTTAACTTCTTTTCAGTCTATTTTCTCTCTGTTGTTCAGAGAGAGTAATTTCTATTGTTCTGTCCTCAAATTCACAGATCTTTCCTCTGTCATATTTATCCTGCTGCTGAGTCCCTCTGGGGAGTTTTAAAATTTGTTACTGTATGTTGTCAATTAAAAAATTTCTATTTCGTTTTTTTTTTACATCTTCTATTTTACTGCGGCTTTCTAACTTTTTACTAGATTCAACAATGTTCACAATCACTCACTGAAGCCTTTTTATGAATGCTGCTTTACAATCTTCGTCAGATAATTCCAACATCTCTCTTACCACGGAGTTGGTGTCTGTTGATTGTCTTTTCTCACTCAAGTTGAGAGTTACCTAGTTCTCGATATGACAAATGACTTCTAGTCTTGTCCTAGAAAGTTTGGGTATCACGTTGTGAGGCTCTGGATCCCATTTAATCTTTTTTATAGGCAGTTACCCTGCTTAGGTGTAGTATGCAGCTCCAAGAGGGGGTGGACGGTCACCCCTCTGCTGAACCTTACCAACATGGAGGGGGAGTTTGCCATGGGAGGAGGAGGCGGCAAGTGGAATGTTGCTGTGGCTTCACTGCTAGAAGTTCAGTCTCAACTGAATTCTGCTGACAGTAGCTGATGCTCTCTGGGTAAGGGAGGTGGAGAGTCAACTAGCACCCCCTCACACGGCCTCATTCTGTCGCTGCTGCTAGATGGGTGTGGAAATTCAGTTCCCTGTTTGGTTTTACTAACGGGACCACTGTGGGGTCCCCTGCCTTGCTGGTGCCACATGGGTCCAGAAGTCTTGCTCACCACCTGGCCCTGCTGACACCATGAAGGGTGGATGGTTTTTCTTTTTGTGTTTGGCTACAGTAAGGTGGATATTATCAAAATGATTTTCTATTCAGTGTGCCACTCTTTCCCTGGTCCTTTGACTACAGGGTACGGGTTTCTTGGGGCTTTTTTGTTGGTACCTATTTTTGATACCATGTTGCACACCGCTTAGACACCCCTTCCTGGCTATATGACAGGTAAGAAGAAAACCCAGAGAATCACAGCCACATCATTCCTCAAGTCCCAAAGGCCCTAGCCAGTCTGTTCTCTTCTTTTTTTATCTTTGAGTATTCCTTTGTTTGTTGTGCTCCATCCAAGGTTTTCAATTCTAAGAGGGAGAAAGAGCAAGGAATGGGGCCAATCCAACTTATCTGGAACCAGAAATACCATTAGTTTTAATATATTTTCATTATTGTTCAGTTTAAAGTATCTTCTAATTTTCACTGGGATTTATTCTTTAACCCACAGGATATACAGAAGTGCTTTGCTTCAGATGAAACGTAATGACATATGGAATTCACTTTAAAAAATACATAAGGAGAAAGTGGGTGAGGGCACAGATGAAATATAAATTGGTCAAGAGTGCATCATTTTAAAAGCTGGGTGATCGGGCGCCTGGTTGGCTCAGTTGGTTTAGCAACTGCCTTCGGCTCAGGTCATGATCCTGGAGTCCCGGGATCGAGTCCCACATCGGGCTCCTTGCTCAGCGGGGAGTCTGCTTCTCCCTCTGACCCTCCCCCCTCTCATGTGCTCTCTCTCTCTCATTCTTTCTCTCAAATAAATAAATAAAATCTTTAAAAAAAAAGAAGAGCTGGATGATCAATTCATGAGAGTTCATTATACTTTTCTGTCTACTTTTGTGTATGTTTAAATTTTTCTGGAAAAAAAAGGATACTGATTAATTTCCAAACACTTAGGAATTTTCTACTTTTTTGTTACTGATTTCTAATTCAGTTCTCTGTAATTAGAGGGTATCTCTGTATTACTTCAGTCTACTGAAATGTACTAGGACTTGCTCCATGCCCTTGCATATGCCTTCCATTTTAGTTAATGTTCCTGTATTAAGAAAACAAAAATGTGTATTCTGCTGTGATTGGCCACATGTTCTATATATGTTAGTTTGGTTAAGTTTGTTAATTGTGTTGTTCAAATCTGTTATACCCTTATAACTTTTGTCTGCTTTTTCCATTAGTTATTGAAGAGCTTGTACCAATAATCTCCCACAATAATGACAGATTTGTGTATTTCCCTATTTAGTTTTGTCAGTTTTTGCTTAATGTATTGTGAGGTTATGTTATTAGGCGCATACAAATTTTAGATTATCTTCCTGTTGAATTGACCCATTTATCTCTATCTCTAGTAATAGTATCTCTAGGGATACTCTTTGCGTTTACTTTGTCTGATATTAGTAGTTATACCAGATTTTTTCAGTAGGTGTTCACATGGCAGATCTTTTTCTAGCCTTGTCTACTTTTCTTTGTCCTAACATTTAAATATATCTCTTGTAAGGTGCTTATACTTGGGCCTTTCTTTCTTTCTTTTTCTCTTCCTTCCTCCCTTCCTTCCCTTCCTTCCTTCCTTAAAAACAACCTTGACAATCTTTGGAGTATTTTAGTTCATTTAACATAATATAGCTACTGATATATTTGGCTTAAATCTATCATTTTACTCTCATTTTCTATTTTTCTATCATCTTTTGTCTTCTTCAAGTTCTCTATTTTTTACTTCTGACTTACTTTATCAACTACATTTTAATGATTCCATCTACTTATAGACTTGATAGATATACATCTTTAAACTTTTCTTTTGGTGGTTGTAAAGATCTCGGCATTACCTTGATTTACTTTAAATTTGTACACTTACCTAAAAATTTCAGATTTTTTCCTAAGATAGATTCCTGGAAGTTGGACACTTGACCTATGGCATGAATATTTTAAGGTCTTTGGGACATATGCTCAATCTCTCTTCCAGAAGGGTTATGTCAATTAATATTCCCATCTAAAAGAGTTCTTGCTTTATTGAGTCATCATTAGATAATTAGATAACTGTGCCATCATTAGATAATCATTGCTTTAAAAATCTGTTTACTCGATGAGAAAAAAAGTAATTTACAACTCTTTGACTACTTCTGAGGTTGACTTTTTACTGTATATTTATTAATCAAATAACTTTTTGCTTCTATGAATAGCTTATTTATATCCTTGGACATTTTTCAATTGGAATATTAGTGTTTTTCTTATCACTTTACAAGAACTCATTTGAAATAGGAATAATTCTTTGTCAATTGTTGAAAATGATTTTTCCTTGTTTAACGCTTACTTTCTAAGAATCTTCCTCACTAACCATTAGAGGAGGGGATGAAAAGAAAAAAAATATTCTGGCTGGAGCTCAAGACACAAGAACAGGCAGTGAGTCAAGGATTTTGCTTCTCTTAAAACTATCAAGTGTCTGTAAGAACTGATTACACAACATTTTTCCTCTAAGGTCGTCAAAGTTAAAAATAAAGAACGCAGTTCATGGCTTTTTTAAGAGAGCTGTTTCTGTTGCCAGTTTGCATAAGCACTTAGTGATCATCTTGTTCATCATAAAAGTTGGTAAGACCATTAAATATAGTTTATTAGCATGATATTCTCTATAGGAAAATAAATTATTTTCTGATGGGACTTTATAATCCTTTGGCTTCAGTGTTAGATTGGGCAAGGGAGCAAGGTGAATCCATCTCAAAAATACTAACCTTTATGAGCCGTGGAAAGAAGAAACAAGCTGTCCAGTGCACCTTGGTCACGGCGAAGGTAAGCCCAGAGGATGAGCAGAGAGTGCTTCAGGCGAGATTGCAGGAACGGGGTGAGGGAAGTATGCTTAGTTATGTGTGCCCCAGGCAGGGATGAGTGGAGTACCAGCAAACCTACCTTGCTTTAGTTTTAGAAGAAAAATCTATCGTTCCAGTGTTTTCAGTCTTAAATATAAAACTGGGGAAAAGGTTTCATTTATTTAAATAGTTGGACATAAAGCAGAAACCTTTACAAAAGTATGTGTAAAGTACAGCAATGTATTTAAGCACATTTTTGAGACTGTCTTCATAGACAAAAAAGGTATTCGGGTTTGAAAAAGAAAATGAACATTAGCGAATGTGTCACAAACTCATCTACTTACCGTCATACTGCAGAAATCCATTTGTATCTGTCTCTATCTCAGACTCTGGCTGGTAAAAAGAACACAGCACCCATCAAAACTGTGCAGTGCAGAAATAATACAACTATAGAATGAAGAGGCGATAAACTTTTACTAAACGCTTTGGATGAGGAGAGTAAATAAAATCAGAGCCGTACCAATCAATAATGCCATCTAGTGGATAAGGGACATTACTGCATGGAGCCTACCTTCTACAAAAACTCTTATCACTCAGCAAAGGCTTTCTGGATGTAATTTCATTAACTTTGCCACTAGAACTTTGTTGTGTTAAATGAATTATCTAAGATGTTTTTATAGATACCTTAAAGAAATCATCCTGAGATATGACACTGCAGTTTGGGAGGTGTTTCTGCAAATTCTTAGCCAGTGTTGTCTTCCCGCCATTTGTCACACTGAACAGAAAAAGGAAAAGAAAAAAAAAATGAGCATACCAAGAAGGGAGGCACATTTAGTGTAAAACATTTTATTTATTTTTATTTTTTTATTTTTTAAAAAGATTTTGTCAGAGGGAGAGAGTGCGCACGCGCGCACATGCGCACACGCATGCACAAGCAGGGGGAGCCCCATGCCAGAGGGAGGAGGCAGGGAGCCTGCCACGGGACTCGATCCCAGGACCCTGACCTGGGATCATGACCAGAGCTGAAGGCAGAAGCTTAACCAACTGAGCCATCCAGCCGTCCCTAAAACATTTTAAAGTGATCTTAGAAAAAAGATATTTAAAACAATATGTAATACCTAAGAAGAAATTATTTCTTTCATAGATATGTTAGTAAGTAAGTAGATCTACTGTAATAGATGAGGAGAAATAAACTGGAAAGGATGGAGGAGAAAGGTCACTAAGTACCCGGCAAGTAAGCTGGGTAATACTAAGTCTTAAAATTCCAGCTACTGTGTGGGAAGCAAAAGAATGTTTCGTCTATACTGAACCATTCCCAGGGCTTGTGTGCAACACTGAGCATATGAGTAGCACGTTTTAGTGCAAGTCCCTACAACTGCATGTGGTCACTGTGATTTTGTTTCAGTGTGCTGTGGAGAAAAATGGAGGACTGGCTTATGACAAGCCACGTACTATGCATTCACATCTCCGCTGTGGTGCTCCCTTTCTCCTTAATCTTGCTCCACTGTGGGCCAAATGGGAGGCCCACTGAAGCTTATCAAATGGAGTCAGTTACTTGTCCCTCCCAGCTGGCTCGTGACATTGGGGAGAACGGGGATCCCCTGTGTACCTAGTTTTCCAGCGTCTAGCACCACACATAGCACCTGAGAGTTGGTTCTGCAGTCAGTCATTCAGTCAGAGCTTTTTTTAACCCAGGGCTGCTGCCTCAGAGGGCCTGGGGACACATCTGTGGACTTTGCCAACTTGAATGGGAAAGAAATTACATCTTTATTTTTATTACATTCTAGCAGAATTTTAACTTTTTCTTTTATTATAAGTAAAAAACATCAGTAGTATTAACAGTACCCATGGCTTTGTCACCACTAGAAATCATAGATATTTTCATATCATGGTGCAAGGGGAGCAGATATCTTGGAGCATGATCGCTATTCATTATTATTTCAAATTGATGGCAGTTTTTAGACCCACCCCTGGACAGTGTTATTTAATAAGTTAACCATGTATATATCACAAAGCAACAATCTGTTTTTTAAAATAATTTTATAACTATATTTCAACATAACTGGTTTCCTTTATATTCCTGTATTTTATTTTATGCATTTAAAACCATTACTCTAGGGGCGCCTGGGTGGCTCAGTCGGTTAAGCATCTGCCTTCGGCTCAGGTCACGATCCCAGGCTCCTGGGATCGAGTCCCACATTGGGCTCCCTGCTCGGCGGGAAGCCTGCTTCTCCCTCTCCCACTCCCCCTGCTTGTGTTCCTGCTCTTGCTATCTCTCTCTGTCAAATAAATAAATAAAATCTTAAAAAAATAAAATAAAACCATTACTCTAAATCAAGACTTCATCATACCACTGAATGTTCACGGCACAAAAAAACTTAACTGCACATTTATATGCAGGAACCTGTACTTAATCCCAGATGATACACTGCAATGTATTTATAATCTAGAAAAGAAACTAATATTCATTCATCAAAATTGTTTACTGGCTGTAATTCAGTTATTACCTAAATACCTTATGCCTACAAAGTACAGGGAACTTGATTCAAAACTTTTTTTCATTTATTTTTTAAAAGATTTTATTTATTTATTTGACAGAGAGAGACACAGCGAGAGAGGGAACACAAGCAGGGGGAGTGGGAGAGGGAGAAGCAGGCTTCCCGCTGGGCAGGGAGCCCGATGCGGGGCTCGATCCCAGGACCCTGAGATCATGACCTGAGCTGAAGGTAGCCACTTAACTGATTCACCCAGGCGCCCCGTAAAGTTTTTTTCATTTAAACTTAGAATACACAATTGGATATAGGATATGGGCGATCTTGAAAAGACATAAGTGCCTGGGTGACTCAGTCAGTTTAGCTTCTGACTCTTGACTTTGGCTCAGGTCCTGATCTCAGGGTCCTGGGATCCAGCAGGCATGTCAACTCAGTGGGCAGTTGGCTTCCTCCTTCTCCCTCTCCTTTTGCCTCTCCCCCTGCTCAAGCTCTCTCTCTCTTCCCTGCCCCCTCAAATAAATAAATCTTTTTTTTTTTTTTTAAGAAAACACAGGGAAGTGGGTGGGTATTACCCTTTGTCTTGAGAAAATACTGGTATAAAATTTCTCCCTTTTCACAAGAACGTCTGTCATCCATACTGATTTTCCATAGTTCAGACACTGAACTTTGGTTTAAAAGAGAGAGTAAACAGGGCTAACTTTTTGAGCAACCTGGCCAGAACATGTGTCATTTTCTAGACTTACCTCTTGCAGACAATACAATCACACCAATCGTCTCACTGACTTAGCTGGAGACAATGAGAAGCAAGCACTCGAGTGTCATAGACTTGGAGGAGAGAGACCAGACGGAAGGTAGTACAGATCAGGGGGACGGGAGAGGCGTCGAAGGAGAATTTAACAAGTCAGAACGGCGCAAGTTCAAGCCTACGATCTATACTTGGAATCCTGGTCAGGACACCTTAAGACTAACTCTTCTCTTTCAGCATGCTCACAACCACCATGCACCACCAAGCTCACGACCACCCTCATGTGCCCTCCAACCTCAGGGCAAAGGTTTATCTTTGCATGACAGGTGCATGCTTTATCTTAGGATATGGGGAAGGAAAATGAGTAACTACTTGGGGCCGCTTCCTTCTTTGTTCACAACACCCGGCATAAATGCACAAGTCCTGGTCCGTTTGTTTTTTTACGTGCCAAGAGACAGGAAGGGTGAGTGTATTTGGAATAGGATAGGGGGCTGAGGAGAAGTTAAAAAGGCTGTCTGCAGGCACTGAAGAGGCAAATCCATTCTGTAGCAGGTGGATATTAATATTACCATTTTGCAGTTGAGGAAACTAAGGATTGAAAGACTATATACTCATAAAACTTGCCCAAGGTAACAACTAGCAAGTAATGAGGATGGGATACAAAGTCTAACTCCAAAGCCCATGGATCTTTTTTTTTTTTTCTCAAAGCCCATGAAACTTACATATTTTAACATCACAGAATACTGTGAGAATCTGATAAAGATTATATGCCCCTTTCCCAGAAAAATGAACATCTTCACACATGCATTCCATTTTTTAGGAGGACCTTGAATGACCCTGGAATCCTTTGGAACCCCTGCTATTCCTTGAATTCTTAACTGAATGATCACTTCCTAGTGTAGGAAGGGCCAAGTTTACAAGGAAGATACAACACTGAGTCTGCAGGAAGGAAGAAAGGCAGGAACAGAGGTCACTGTGGCTGAGTGTGGTAGGTGTTTCCCACAAGCAGCACTAAAATGAAATCCTGGCCCTCGCTGAGGAAGAGACAGTGAAGAGGGGGCTTTCTTGGGGAAGTGTGGTTAGCACCTCATGCACAGTGGCAAGAAAGTAGGAGGCCGGTTTCTACACTTGGAACATGGAGAAGAAGGGAATGTTATTCCTACATACGCAGAATGAAAGTTGGTTTGGGTGCTAGAGTAGACATGGTAGCTGCCTCCACTCTACCCTTGTTTCTGAGGTCTGGTTTGGACTGACCCCACTGTCAGTTCCAGAGCAGGGCCCAGGACCCACTGGTATCCCCTTGTACCCAAAAAGCGCAGCCAACTCTAGGATGAATCCAAATGGAGGAAGACACAAAGAAGAGATGGAAAGACATGGAGTGTTTGGTGATACCACTGAGCTCCTGTATCAAACCTTCCCTGCAGCCTACATGGCCCTGAAGCTAGTACATTTCTTTTACTATTTACAGATGGTCTTCATATACCTGGATATTCAGATTTTGTTCTAGATAACTGGTAACCCACTGCATATTGTTCACTAGGTGAGAGAATAATTAAACATTTCTGAAGAAGATTCAACTGGTGGAGAGGTACCTAGGAAATATTAAGAGGGGGAGGCTGGAATTAGGGAATGAGGAGCTGATTTAGGAGGGTGGCAGCGAGTGCAGAAGGGAAAGCATGTCCAAGAGAAGCAATGCAGAGAAAAACAGAACTTTGGTTCTGGTTAGATGGCAGGAAGACGAGGCAGAGTTCTGACACTGGATTCATTCCCTTTTACCTCTGATTACTTGCTATAGTAACATAATACAACAATACAGTGATCTCCCCCAAGTCACAAACCTTTAATTTTAACAGTCTCAAATATTTCATTCATTGGACCACACCTAGTGTGAATGTACTCAGAAGAAAGAGGAACACAACAAAGTAGCAAAACCAACAGTTCTTTGGAGCTGTTGTTGGTGTCTTACTTGCATGCATACCTCCGGTACCATGGGGAGGGCGACCCTGTAATTTAGGACACTTTTGAGAGGAAGAGGGGCACCCAGCTCATAATTACGCCGGGGCAGTCAGGATAATAAGGATAAAAGGTGGCTGGTGTCAACTCCGGAAAAGAAATGGTAAGGCAGGCAGATTTTGCTTACTGACCGCCGTGTTTCTCTGTTTAGAGAAGACTCTCCCATCTCCTGTTGCCATTTATGTAGCTAGTACTCCCTCCCCTGTTTTTTATTTGCCAGTGGCCTGCTCTCTTCCTCAGGACTCAGGAACCCTGACCCCTCACCCCTCCATCCCCTACCACATCCACAGGAAAACACCCTCTGGCCATCCTCAGTATCTCCACCAGCTGTTTGTAGCAAAATTACTCACCCACTGATTCCAATGACAAATGTTTTCATAATTAGCTTTGAAAATCACGTCTTCCTAAAATTTCCTAAAATTAAAAAAACAGAACAAAACAAATCGAATGCTTATCACTGAGATGTCTAGAGAAAAACAAAAAGACTAAAAGAAAGAGTCCTAAGTTAGGAGAGTCAGCTGAGGGGGAAAGATGACCATGATCTCGGGGTCATCTCCTACTCCTGAATTAGCCACGCTCAGTAGAAGGGCTTTACAAGGTACCAGCTTCTCTCTGCTAGACTCCATGGCTAAATCCAACAGGCCAAAGTCTCAGAGAACACACACTCCAGAGTCTCATAACTCTGAAACTCAAAAGAGTTTCAAGATTCAATCACCTGGGGATGATCCACTTATCTCTCCAATGCCAGGGAACCCCACAGAGCTTGCCTCTCTCTCCTACTGAAATGGGGGAAAACATCACTGCCGGCCAGAGGCAAAAGGAAGTTAATTCCCTTTAAGGGTACTATTTCCTCACTCAAAAACCTAAGTCCAGGGTCAGCATAGACAAACTTTTTCCGAAAACGGCCAGGTAGTAAATATTTGAGGTTTTGTGGGCCCAGAGGCAAACTGAAAGTTATTACGCAGGTACTTATGTAACAAGAGAGAAAACAAAATTTCCACAATGTTCTTGAGGAAAGTTGAAACATTACAATTGAGTACAATTTTGTTGTTGTTGTTGTTGTAATAGCCATCTACTAATGATAAGAATGGAATTCTTTTCTTATTGGGATAATACTTCTCTTACTGGATTTCAGAGTTAGTGTTCTCAATCAGAAAAGTGACTGCAACCGTTCAGGCTGAGGGCCAGGTTTTAGCCACAGGCCATTGTTTGCTGACTCCGGATCTGGGGGTGGGGTGGGGCGGTGGAGGGCAGTTTCACACAGGGCCCCCAGAAGTTCAGTAAAGCAGTCCTATGGATATTCTAATGAACCATTTTCACCTCTTTATGTGAAAAGGTGAAGCTTAGCTGGAGGGAACCTCAGAATAGTGGTTCCTGAGGGTTGCCTGACCTAAAGCTGCTCTTTATTCCAGACTGCTCTGGTTGGGCGATCAGGGACCTAAGCTGGGCCGCTGGGGTGAGTAGCTCCTGAGCTGGAGACCCCCCAGAGGCCCTCCCAGTTCCTATCCCTGACCTGAGTCCTAGCAAGTTAATTTCTTTCTTCTTTCCAGCCTGTTAAAAAGCACTTTACTACCAAGAGCAAAGAAAGGATGCTGCACATGTGCTGGCTTAATTGTGAGGCTCTCATGTATAATGGATGCCATTTTTATTGATGTATTATTAATGGTTGAGCACACTGAATGGCAAGGACTATGGGTCCCCCTGCTTCATGCCACATCTGTGCACACAGGGAGGATATTGTATCAATTACATAGCATGCAAATAACGAGTGTGGTTGTGGCACTGGAAAGACGCTTGAAGAGGTTATTTGGGTGGAAACTAGCAATTACGAAATGAAGAGAGAGAGTCAAGAACCTACTTATAAAATTGCTTGGGTTCAGGAGGGAATTCCCAGTCAAATGCAAGTTTTTACCGAAACAGGAATCCTCAGTTCTATATTAGTTAGCTAACAGAGCTATTACACAAGACAGTGTTTGGATAAATGTCGGGCACAGTCTATTAGTCCTAAACGGGTGGCAACGCGGTGCGAGGGGTGGGGAATTGGGAGAAGCTGAAGCAAGACAGGTGCTGGGGTGAGGGTGGGCCTAGCAATCCCAAAAGTCATTTATTTCAAAAACCTCGTTGGATGCACAGGGCAGCACCAGGTGAACTCCAAATTCGGGACTGGAATTGTCTACCTCCACACCACTTTGTGCTATTACACCTCCTGTTGCCCTCTTAGAGGACTATTTTAAAACCACACTTAAAAACCTGCAACTAAGAGTTGCCAGGCTCCAAATACATGCAGCAGACTCCATGAGGCAGAGACAAGCTTGATCAACTACAAACTCAATCACTGGATGTCTCCAGAGAGACAACCGTTTGGACTTTGTAGTCTCATCAATCCGGGGCATCTGATTACTTGGAATATATTCCACCACCAATCTTGTGGGATATTTATGTACTTTATTCTCCCAATAAGTGCCAAGCGTTCCTCAACAGCAGAGTTATTTGCACAGGGGGAAGAGAACTAACTAAATTCGTCAAGGGCAAACCCAAAAATGAACATTTTAATTTCTTTTTTTCCCTAAGTAAGATAGGTTGTCGGGTCCTTTTTTCATGACTTGTATGTGCTTATTATACGGATTCCACTACTAAACAGGGTACATTTTGGACTCTAAACTAAAATGGTCAGAGGTGGTATGTGCAGAAATCAGATTATAGGGAAGACAGCAGCTTCTCTAATACAAATGGATGACAGCATGCTAACGAATTGTGCTTTTCAATGCACCTAAAGAGCAGTCTGGTATTTTTACACCAGCGAAATGTTTCAGGACTTCTCACTCATTTGCTTTATCCAACAGATATTCTGATTATCTTCTTCCACACACCAGGGAAGTCTTTTCCTACTATTGTTTAAACGTTGCTCCCTTTTAGTAAACAGAAATCTCCCACGGTTAGAATTTCTGAATACCTCAACCCATGCCCCTTTCCCGTGGAATCACTTTTATCTTTCACTGACCCCTAACAAAAACTTTCAAGCTTCATTTTAGATAGACTCTCATGTAAGGTGTTTTTTCAACGTTTCTTCCCTCAAGCATACAATTGGTCTATAACACGGTGCTATTTCGAACTGAATGCACGCTGCATTTCTCGTTTGCTCCCGCCCTCACCTCGCCTTGGAGAATCAATCGGCTAGGTCAGGGGGTCGGCATTTCGCTGTGAAATGCCAGATAGTCAACGTTTCAGGCTTCGAGGGCAGCAGCTCAGCTCTGCTGTGAAGAGAAAAGCGGCCACAGGCAGTACATAAGCAAACGAGCGCGGCTGTGCTCGAGCAAAACTTTATGGACACCGAAATTGGAATTTCTTAGCATTTCCACGTGCCACAAAAATCTTCTGGTATCTTTTCAACCATTTAAAATGGTAAAAGCCGTCCTCAGCAGGCCGTTCGTTCAATTAACAGGGGACAGGCGGGTCGTTGAGTTAGTCCACCCTAATACGGGTGGAATAAAAGCTTGCCTCCTCCCGTACGGATCAAGACCTGACCCCAACCCTGGTGACTTCTCTCCACAGCCCGTACCATCTCTTGGAGGGTCTCCCATTTTAAGGATTATTACGGGGCGTTAAAAGCACCACGCCACCCCGTACACACACTCCTTGGCAGGCCATCTATCGGCCCGCTTAGGGTGGTTCGAGTCCCCGCAAAGCTTGCAAGACGCAACCTGGTTCAGGCTCCAGCGCAGCCACACATCGGGAGCACCTCCAGGCCTCCGCGACGCTGCGCAGCGCGGCCGGATCGCGCAGGTACTCACCGGGCGCCAGTTCGAGCCCTCCCAAGCAAAGCGGCAGAAGCTCGGGCCGAAAGTGCGCCTGTCGCTGACCCCCGAAGCTCCCTGGCCTAGAGGCTCACAGCCCCTCCCTCCGCGCCCCCACCGGGTCGGAAGCGGCCCAGGTAGAGGACGCCAACCTAGGGATCCGTCCCACCCGGGCGGGACGCGGACTGGGCCGGGGCGGGGCGAGGCGAGGCGGGGCGGGACTCCGGCGACCGTGGCCCCGCGCGCGCGCCCTCGCGGGGTCCGGCCCTTTCTCGTCGGGGGCGCGCGCGGCCGGGTCCGCCCCGGCGCGAGCCTGCGGCGCCCTTCCTCGGCTCCGGCTGGTTCAGCCGTCGCCGCCGACGCCGCGCGCGCCGCCGGGCGCGCCGCCCGCGCTCCCGCCGCTCCGAAGCGGCCAGCCCGGGAGCCAATTAGCGCTCGGCGAGACGGCGGCCACTTCCTCGTCGCCCGGCCGCGCGCTCGGGAGGCTCAGGCGGCCGCGCGGCGGGGCGGGGCATTGCGCCGAGCCGGTCTGCCTGCGTCCGCTCGTCCGACGGCCAAGGGTGGGCGCAGGTCCTTGAAGGCACACCGCTGCGAACCGGACAAAAAGAAACTTTTGGGTCCCCGGAGTGCCGGCTGGCGGGGCGTTCGGTCGGCTTTTCGTGCGTGGTCTTGAGGCTCAGCCGCTCCAGGAAGCGCGATGTCGAAGCCGCCACCCAAACCGGTCAAACCAGGTAAGGGAGGCGCTCACAGGGTTCCCGTGGCTGCCTTGGTGCCCTGCGCTTCCTCTGCCACTTGGCAGGGCAGACGCCGCACGTACCCGGCCTGGAGCTTCGCTTTCGGGAGCCGACCCGCCAGGATGGGTCGCTTTGTTGGTTCGCTGCAGGGAGGGATCGTTTGGGTAGCAAAAGGATTTCGAGGATTTTTTATTTTAAAGGGGAGTCGCCCTCGATTTTGCAATATTGTCATTCGCTGCAACTTTCTAGTGGATGTGATAGCTACGTCCCATTGAAGCTTGACTGGAAGACAGGGACATTGATCCCCTTAGGGGGGAAAATAGATACATGCTTTGAAATGGTCTTTTGGCCACTTCCTCTTTTTTTTTTCCCGTGTGTGTCATTGTCAAGTTCGAGTTCTTGACCGGCCAGAGCGAACGGGAAGTGCGCTGTTTGCAGGGTGGGGTGGGTGAGCGAGTCTTCTATGGGACTTTGGAGAGGAGCCGCGTTTGAAATTTCCCTCGGGATCTTGGGAAAAGCATTTGGGAAAACGGTACGCGAGCTCGCGGCGAGAAAAATCTAGGCTGCGGCAGAGTAATCTCGGCTGTTGCTCTTCGGGAGTGTCACTTTATCATTCAGTACAGGTCCTTTGCCCCCGCTTCCTCAGTGATTTTGCCATGTTAAACTGGATTACTAAATCCCTCAAAGCGCTGTTCTTGGCCGATAGTCTGTTCATTTTTTGTTCTATTCTTAGCATATTTTCTGTGATTGGGAGACACGAGAATGTAAAAGGGACTGACGTATTTCAATTCAGTACTGTAACAAACTCGTGCATTCATTGGTGAGTAATTACGGGAAACGTAGGAAATGGAAGATATATGGCTTTGATACACTCTGGGGCGTTTTCTTCCAATCTCCTGTAACTTCAGTATAGCACGAGCTGAAATGTATCCATTTACGTCAAATTTCCAAGTAACCTTGGTTGCAGGCACTACACCTTTCATGATTATCTAGTTTTCTTTCTTTGCCATCATACAGTGGCGGTTTCAAATCATTTTATATGAAAATTATGTGCATATATATGACAGTCATTCACTGAGGACTTATAATTTTGGTGGGCTGGTTGTGAAGGAAGTTGCTGGGACGTTGGTTTTGCTCTGAGCAAAGATGGGGTGTGGCTAGTATTGGGTTCTGTCCTTCTTTATAAGTGGAATCTGATGAAGAGTTTGCGTTTTAAGTGCACGTGTAGGAGGTAGCAGCTTTCTAAATTCAGATGTAAATCAGACCTCAAGCATCCAACAAAACAGAGTTGTTCTTTGCTGGCTAAACAAAGTACTTTATTTTAAAGAATGTCCTGAGAAGTTAGTTATTCAAGAGGTTTTTCATCTCTCGAGACTTTAAGTGATGTCTGTGCTGCAGCTGGAGGGACATTGACTGTGGTGTGCAAGTGTGTACATGAGTACTCGTGTATATACCATTTGGTTGAAGGATCATACTGTTACTAGTTGGGGATACGCTCCCAGAAACCATTTTCGTGGTTGGACACCGCTGCTTTCTCCTTCTCTTCAGCAAATCACAAAGCAAAGGGTTGAAAATATCTGCCGTTTTAGGGACAGCTTTGACTCCACACTGATTTATAAATGAGATCCAAACTCAAGGTCACCATAGAAATCGGTTTGTTAGTTTATGAATTTACAATGAGAAGTATTACTTTCAATCCGACTTGAAATATTGGGTAGCCTGGCTTAATTGAAAACAAAACTGTCCTATTATAGTACTGGTCCACATTTACTGTGCGCTGGGCACTGATGTAATCACTTTACATGTGTTAACTCATTTGCTCCTCACAACAACCCTGTGAGGTCAGTACCATTATTGTTCCCATTGCAGAGGCTGGGAAATTAAGGCAAGGCACAGAGAGGTAGGGAGGAGCAGGTAGGAGTAGCACCCAGGTAGTCTGATTTAAGAATCTGTGTTCCTGCTCATGATGCTATTCTGCCTTACATCACCGTGCACCATTCACATGCGTGGTCTTGTGTATTTTAGAGCTGGGGGGTGGAAGTGGAAAGGTAAGTGCCTCTTGTCCGCAGTCAGATCTTCTGGTCACAGATGCACATAAAGGTCACCCCCTGGTTGGTAGCAGTGAGGGGAGTGAGCTTTACTTTCTTGTCCTGCAGGCAGGATTCGTTCATGGGTGAAAAATGTCTGAAGCAGCTTGGAATTGGGGGTAAGGGGTTGTATTTAATTTTTGGTTTCTTGGTTTGTTTTTACCGGGCCTCATCCCAGATGACAGTTAAGGAAGGAAGGAAGGAAGGAAAGGGAAGGAAGGGAAAGAGCCATAAAGAGGGAGGGAAGAATAAGAATACCAGAGGAAAGGACACACGTGTCCTAAGGTCCGCCAAAGTTTCTAAAGGGTGGCTATAGATTTGGGTCTCGGCTTCCAGCATAAAGGTAAAAAAGATCAATTATAAGATTCCTACTCTTCCTAAAAATAAAATGTGTTACTTTTCAGAGAAGAGTTATTTTAATGGCACTGAGATCTGAAATAAACTTCCCATGGGTTCTCTCAGAGTGTTGGAGTGGACTGCACATCTCTGTAAGAAACACAAGAGGGACATCGTGGTGGTGTCCGTATAGCTTCTTGCAGAGCAAGACCCCGGCAAAACAGCGTGGTTCAGTTCCATGGGAGTGCTGAAGGGAGGGGGGCTAGGTGAGGGAGGACAAAGGACTTAATGAAAAATTTGAGTAGCAAGGGACATTAAGCTATAATGTGGGTAATGTATCTATTGGGATGATTGGCATATATCCCATAAAAAGACTGTTCGCTTTTGCACCTTCCTGAGGTTATACCAGACTTTGGGTTTGTAGCCACATCCAAAAATCATTTGCTAAACATTTCTTAATATATGCAGCTAATATTTTAGGCCTTGTAGTAGACATTGGGGTTCCCAGGCGCAATAAAATAAGGTCTCATCCATGAAAGTATCGCGTCTGGTGGGGGAGATTTAGGTATCTATAGATAATATCTTAAATTGACCCGTATCTGTAGTTGGATGCTGATCTTACCCATTTTGTTAGGAAAAACCTCGTAATTAAAAATAAAAGTAATATATTTTCCTTCTTTCTTCCTTTCTTCTCCAAACCTCGTAGTATATTTTTTATTATAGGAAATTTAGAAAATACATACAGAAAAAATATATAAAAATATAAATATCATCCCTACCTATCTACTGATAATCACTGTTTTCTCTCAGGTGTTATTTTTCTTTGTCAAATCCATTTCATTAAAAAAAGAAAATACAAACAATTATCCTCAGAATGGTGTCTCAGTTTCAATTTTAAGTGTTTTGCTGTTGATTGGCTTGTTTCCTACTGTTGCCTGCGCTCTGCTTGAAAAATCACTTGTCACATTTTGACCTTTCCTTGCTTACTGATGTCTTTTTATAGGGTCGCTTTTGGCCACTCTAGGTCTGTCATTGAAACTCCCCTCTCATTGTTAGATGTGCCACCAAGGTGCTTAGTCTGCTAAAAAGTGTCATGTTTCATGGTCTTCAGCTCATTCTTCATGGGACCCAACTACTTCTTTGGGACCGATGCGGCCTCTCTGGTTCTTGTCAGCCACCCTCCCAAGCCTTGCAGTTCAATTACAGTGAACTTGCTGAGCTTGTCAGAGTGTAGATGACACCTTGTGTTCTTACAAAAACTTTTTTTTAGAGGAGACTTTATTCTGAGACTTTATTCTGTGAAGAATAAAGGATATTGAGTGAGATTTGGACTAGAATCATCTCATTATAAGCCGGTTTGATAACCCTCCACTGTAGTTGGAAGCCTGATGTGGCTTATTGATTTTGGTGGTGGAAGTAAAGCAGCATAAATATTTTATGTGTCTTAGGAAAATAAATTCATGGGACTTTGAAGAAGCAAATGTCAGTATTTTGGGTTCTTTTGTATTTACAGTAAAAACATCATAAACTTCAAAGATGTCACCCATATGCTGCTTATATAACATTGTTGAGAGGAAAAAAGGCTTCATCTAAAATTATCTGAGCTTTTGTGTATTTTTTTCCCTCTGAATAAATGAATTAGTCAAGGGTGAGACTATGGGGTTGGCTGGAAATATGCATATGGATAGTGTCCTTCATAAACTTCATGCTCCATTTATTCCTGGTGGCAGAATAAAGTTTGGGAAGCATTTTGAAAATTCCAGAATGATGATGATGATGATTATAATAGTAATAATTAACATTTATTTGGCTGTGTCAGGTACTGTGTGGAGCACTTTATATTCTCCATCTCATTTAATTACTCTAATTTCCCTATGAGGTGGGTCCTAATATCCCCATTTTATGGGTGAA